TAAAACTTACCCAATGTTCTGATTATAATACTATTACTATATGGTCCTATACCAATTGCGTTGGCAGCATATGCTCTACATTCATATGGTGTTGACGGCTCTAATTTTAGTATTTCTATTGTACTATTCGTTGTCTCTGAGATACCAGTTTTCAATTCGATGAACGATGCATTTCTCGGGGTACGATATTGAATAAAATATGTTGTATTTGTATCTCCACCGTCATATCCGGGAATTATAGTAACCAACAGACTGTCATAGAATCGAGTGAGTGGTACAATGGACTTTGGTGCATCTGGAACACCTATATGTGAATTGCGTTGTATATTTGTCAGTTCATTTCAAAAACAAAAAAGTTGCGCATAGTAAATGAGGGATTAATCTAGTAATATTATCATTAATATGAACAAACCCAAAGGGTTGATAATACAAGCTACATAGATAAATTATTTGATTGTTGTTGTACATTTACATATGAAAAAATACAATACTTACTTTTATCTTTAAACGTAACAATAAATGTTATGTTGCCAAGATAATTTCCTGCAAAACAGGAATAACTACCATAGTCACTTATCATTGTATCCCGTATTGTCAATATGCTTTCATATAAGAATCCACGTGACACTGTTTCGATGCTGACTCTACTGTCAATTTTAACTGGTTGATTATTCGAATCATACCATATTACGGAGGAAAGTGGGTTGCTTTCAATATCGCATCGTAGTTTTCCTACAGTTCCTTGACTGGTAACCGACCACTGATTGTGTAATACATTCACAACAAATGGTTTATCTGGAAAATAGAATACATATATTGCTATAAATGTCATCTCAATTTTGATGACATCATCCGAGCAAGTAAATAAGATAAAGTATAGTACACATATTAGCAATCTCCCATAATACAATAAAAATCCAATCAATCCAAGCAAGTATATATCTAACGCAAAAATACGTATGATTTCAACAAATTATGATCTTATTTCAAACAATTACAATGCAATTATTCAAAGCCAAAATTGGTTTATAATTATTAGTCGCGAGAGACGCTTTTTTGCTTAGGAGGCCCACTCAGTTAAATCTAATTTTTATCTTGATAGCATAACGTAAATTGTCTTTGCTCTTTATAACTGTCAATTGTGATTATCATATACACATTTTAGTATATACTCCCATATAAAATAATACATGGTTTCTAAAACGATAATTATTTTTATTAATAATATAATAACTTTGAAACAATGACGGCTACATACAATTCTAAACAATTTTACAACATGCATATGTACTTAATTATGAAGTTTGTATCTGTTTACATATGATCATAACTATATGCAAATACATCATCATCGCCTCTAGTGAGATGCTTAGAATTGACTTTGCACTTTCTTAGAACAAACTGTTGATACGTTTGAAAAAATAAGATATGGTATAGTTTATAGTGTAACTTATGACCCTACAGTGAAATATGTTTAATAATTACTCCTAAATAGCGGATCTGCATTTTATAGGGTTGCACCACAACATTGGAGATTTAACATTTTGCTACATTCAAGTAATTAGAACAATAATCATTTGCCACAATGTAATCATTTGTATTTCATGTCAACAAACAATTAACATAATACAACAATAAGCTGGCTAACAGGGCAAACAAGGACAAGACTATTGTTACTTAAGTTTAACCAATTGCAGGGCTGTTGAGGTACTGTTGAATTTAATGTACATAAATATATGCTTTGACCTTTAGTACCAACATAGAATCCATCATGGACAAAATTCAGACAAAAACTGTACAAAATAAAATAGCCTTTAGTTAGCCATTTTGAATCATTTCTGCTTGCATGCGAAAGCCACCGTTTGCGTAATTTTAACCTAATATTCCGAAGATGTTCTTTACTACGCTCTATGTACGTTTCGCGAAATGATATTTTAGCTGATTTCCCCCGACTGAGAGTGCACTTTTGGACTTTGGACTTCTAAACATATTAAACATGGTACATAGTTTATTTAACTATAACTTGCATAATTAGAATATGCAATCAAACAAATCACAACGTCATATTCATGCAATTGAAATACTGGTGTAATATAATGATAATAATAACTTTATTACACTACTATGCCACCAGAGGGCGCAGTATGGTAAATAATATAAAATACAAATCATAAAAAAATACAGCAGCCGAACTATGATAAGATGAAATTAAAAGTAAGAGATATTAAAAGCTTAATAGGAAAAAATATTGTTAATTACATGATTCTCCTAATGTAGCGGTGATAGCATTCATATACATGCTTTCTGTTTTGCCTTATTTAGAAACTTTGCTTAGGGTATATAGCACGTCATTATTTTAATGAAATTGTCTGTTTATTTAGTTTATTTTTAACTCCTAATTCTTGAAACAGCTCAAATCTTTCTTTATCGAAAAATTCACAATCTAAGAAGAAATGGCATTCGTTCATAACTGAATTTGTATGACATTTTTTTACAAAATCGTTCTTTCGCATGAATTGTTTGTCCTCGTTGTCTACCTCTTTCAATTTCAAAATTGTACAACAATTCTCCAACGGCTGAAGTTTGTTATTTCGGTTAGGTATGTTTCTATTCCTAAAATACAATTTAAACAATTGCAATTTATATGTTATCATTTTATTGCCATCATTACAATTTTTACTGTCAGGAGAATTTAAGCCTTGTTTGCATATTTGTTATATTCTGTTGTGATTTTTATTTTAACAACATTTGAGTTATGATCAACGTTATTCACTTCTTAATTTTATTTTATTGTTTTAAAATCATTGTGGCCCCTTATATTTGTTATATGTTTTTTCCAGCTAGAATTACTACTAACTGCTTCATCGAGAGCACATTGAAATGTATGGTTATTGGGTAAGTTATTTAGCCTGAACCAATACTTAGTTGCCAATGTTGATGCCATTATTCCTATTGGCATTCTGCCAAGTTCTCTTTTAATACCGATTTACTTACACCAAGTCTGTAATGATAACATTGATTACAGGTTTGTTCTAGGTCATTGTCATCTTTTACTAAATCACAAGCCAAGATTTCTCCCCAAACATTAAAATTGGTAAAATTAGTTGGTCGAATAAATTTAAACACAGTGAAGGGGACACCATTTTTAACACTAATAAATTTGATTTAAATTTTCCACTTGGTGTAAATATACTGCCTAAATAACATAATTCACCCACTGCTGTAATATTTTGGTTATTAATTGAGAAAATATGATTTTTTTTAGAATTCTGTTGCAAGTATTAAAAACCATCATTTTTGTTTTCTTTATGTACTCAACAAAGCTCCATTTTTCACAATAGTTAGCTAGGTAATTTAAACAATTCTGGATACAGTTTATATGTTTTTTACCAATCGAGGCTGGGTCATCTTTTTTTTACCAAATAAAAATATAATATAATTAAGTAAATTTAAATATCACTGTAACTATTGGTGTTTACTTATTTGCATACAAGTATTGCAGTTGATAAATGGATGCTTAGAAAAATGTGACCTCAAGTAAAAGGCAATAAGTTGAATATTTTTTACAAAACACTTTTAAAACTATTTTGAATGTGTTGATGAAATGCATGCAAGACAACATTTATTAATAAAGCTTAGGATGCAGTCAATAATAAACCCATTGTGTGCCATTACATTTCGAAACAATGTGGTTTAGTCACTTCTGTTTATTTCCCAGATACCTCAGAAAGGCAGAACATTTTTGTCATAGACACCGGCTTAGAGAGCAGACTGAAAAATTGTATTATCACCACAGTAATTGTGTTTTTTTGTTTTTATTAATTAAAAATGAAATTGTGAAAATAAATTAATTTATTACTCACAGTGCACTGTAATGGTAAAAATATTTGAATTAACATCTCCAGTGACTTGTGAATTCCTTGCTTTACACTTATACTCTGCTTGGTTATCTTCAGCTCTTGTTGTTATTGTTATTTGTTGTTCTGATATCTTGCCATTGTAGTCACCATTAGTTTCAGTTAGAGACCCAATATTGATATTATCATTGTTATCATCTATTATATTATTATTCCTGTACCACAGTATAGTAGCTGATGGGTTACTAGTTGCTGTTGTACAGGTTAACAATATATTACTACCACTGGTAACAGCACCAGTATAGCCAGACAAACTAGCACTATCAGGTTTAACTGAAAAAAATAGAATGTGAATGGGCCAATTATTGGTCCTTTTCATACGTTTGTGCAGGCCGTCACTCTATTGGTTGTTTTTTGCTGTTGATGTTAATAAACAAGTGAAATCAGGACCCCAATGTCTGACGTTTGGAAGCCAGACTATTACATGTACTCATATATATACTGGTACTTTTTAATTCAAATTTAACACAAATGTAGAATACAAATGTCAATCCTAGATATAACTTCTTGCTTTACGGATGTTAAACCGTATTATCTCATTCAATCGACCAGCATCCTATGAAAATACAATTTATATTCATATATAAATTTGTAAAACATTCCTTGTTGTGCTCAGAAGAAAAAAGTGAGAGTTTCCCATTTTTTGACATAATGGCTCTCATTAATATTACATAAATACAAAATAGAATGAGACGTGCATATACGCTTTGTCATTTTGACATTACTTTTGATATCATATCCCATGCTTCGAGTATTGCTAGATAGTATTGACACAATTGTATCATATTTGAGTATATGTGCTTACATAAAACATTTTTTCAGTGAATAATCAATATTATTACATAGAAATAGTTTCATGATCGATGGGTGTGCGATATATCTTTGAACGTGCATCACTAGTTTTGTAGTTCAATGGACTATTGGCCCGGTTATTAGCGTTTTCAAAATTACAATGTATTAGTATGGTTTAAACCGCATTTGCTACCAGTTGCTTGTCCATTTAGTAGAAAACATACTAATTTTTCCTTAGTTAATTTAAAGCAAATTAAAGGATTATACTCACAGTACACTGTAATGAGTACAATATTTGAATTAACATCTCCAGTGACTTGTGAATTCCTTGCTTTACATTTATACTCTGCTTGGTTATCTTCAGCTCTTGTTGTTATTGTTATTTGTTGTTCTGATATCTTGCCATTGTAGTCACCATTAGTTTCAGTTAGAGTCCCAATATTGATATTATCATCGTTATCATATATCCTAATATTATTCCTGTACCACAGTATAGTAGCTGATGGGTTACTAGTTGTTGTTGTACAGGTTAACAGTATATTGCTACCACCGGTAACAGCACCAGTATAGCCAGACAAACTAGTACTATCAGGTTTAACTGAAAATAAAATAATTCAAACAAAGTTTAGGAGAGAGGGTGACTTATCAGTAACAAGAAACCATCATTGTCTTAGATAAACATTCAAAATGTTCAAAAGCGTCTCTTTAACACTATGTGATATTTACTCATTTGGTATACATTTTAAAAGAAAATGTGTAGGTCCCGATCAGGGGTTTCTCTTAGTATGCATGGGCGGTAATTGTTACCGGTCGCCTGGCAAGCGCATGTGATCATTTTATTGTGTATCAAATTGTTTCTCGGTTTCTTGACAGATTAAAAGTAGAGACAAGGTCACAAAAAGAAAGGACACAAGCAGAGGCACATTTAATTGCTGTTTTTCATTTTGTTTTGCGTTCTGAAACTGCCTATTTTTTAATTTTACCATTATAAAATGTGTTATGTTTCCAACCGAAATTCCATTTGGAAGAGATGCATGTGTATACATAATATAGAATTTGAGAAATGTGATAATAATAATAAATTAATAATATTGAACAACTCAACAACTGAATTTACAAGAAGAATTTGTGCGAGATAGCCAAGCACATATATGGAGCACACTGTGTGCTTAGGTTCACTATTGTTATTATATTGTAGCATTATAAATACCAGTGAACTTGCCTATACAATAGGTCATTGAGAACAAACACAGAAGACAGCTGAAAGTTG